TGGCAAATTCTAGATATCAACCTAGTCTAGATATGAACCTCGTTGTAGGCATCATATCAAGCAGATACAACTAGAAGGCTCGAGAAGTTTCCCCGCCAGAAGAACTTTAATATTGCGCCTAAATATATGCCATGCTACAGCGGAAGTGGACGACACGCCATTTCTTTAAATGAAATTAACTGCTGCTATATGTATGTATGTACATATGTATGTTTATACAAAACGTAAGCAAACAACATTTTGCTTGCATAGTCTTCTGTTCTCTTTCATTGCAAGTTGAATTATTTTAATATCTATTGCAAAATTTTGTACATAAAATAAAATAAAACTATTTAATATACAACGCTTTTATAAATGGACTAAAAATTAGAAAATAAAGTAATGTAAAAAAAATATTTTTTTAAAAATAAGCTTTTATTTAACATGTTTAATCAAAGGAATAAAATAAAGTAGTGAAACAAAAGATTTTTTAGCAAGAAAATTTTGTCAAAACTGCACTAAAATGAATAAAATAAAATAAGTTAAGGTCTCGTTAAAGTTACTAAAAGCCATTTAGTGAAAGGAGTTATTCAAACTCTAATGAAAATTACTAACAATTTGTACTACTTTACTTCGTTTTTAAAAAAGCTTGTCGGCGAATTCAGCGTACATGCATAATTGGTTAGGTATGTATGTATATATATGTATGCAGATATTTAAATGCCGGTTTGATATTCGCGCGACAAGCTTTTTTAAAAACGAAGTAAATTAGTACAAATTGTTAGTAATTTTCATTAGAGTTTGAATAACTCCTTTCACTAAATGGCTTTTAGTAACTTTAACGAGACCTTAACTTATTTTATTTTATTCATTTTAGTGCAGTTTTGACAAAATTTTCTTGCTAAAAAATCTTTTGTTTCACTACTTTATTTTATTCCTTTGATTAAACATGTTAAATAAAAGCTTATTTTTAAAAAAATATTTTTTTTTACATTACTTTATTTCTATATTTTTTGCGATGTTGCTTTGACCAGGGCTTGGACCCAGGCGTTGCGGAGTGGAAGCGCGCACTGCTTACCGCTACACCACAGCGGCCGCATATGCTTTTGCATATTTTGGGGTACCCGGTAATAACCTATTTTTAAGGAAAAATATAAATGTTTATAAAAAAATTACACAATTTGGCTCTTTTTGTTTACCACAAGAACGTCTGTGTCCGATGTTCATCACTGCTTTAATGACAGGTGCTAAATATTCGAAGTTGACGTTGTTCAACATACTGAAAATATTTTGGAGGTGCTTAAGAACGACCGCAGGAATGCAGAAGCAGCCACTACGGAGTTAAATAAGAAATCTCGTATGATAGCAGAAATTTCTCTACCACGTTTGGTAGGTAAACAAAAAAACAGATTTAACTCCCATCGGCCAATGAAAATAAGTACTGGCGACGATCTATAATAATACCGTATCTGGACTCACTAACGTTCTCTTTACACTTTACTACACTTTTTCAATAAAAATAATCCAGCTTCAGCAGTGAAGAAATACAAAAGAACGCGAAACATTTTGAGCAAATCTATGATCTTGATGGTGAAGTTGTAGATTTATTTAAAGATGCAAATGAATTTCTACCAGCAACAAATAAGTATACATACATATTTCCCTGGCGAAGCGAATTAATAACACAATACTATTTTATCCTTCTGATTAAATTTTTTTTTTTTTTCAGACGGATGCCAAATTATCTTTTAATGAATATATGAGTAGTCCACTTGCAAACAGCGTTATGTGATTTTATAAAAGTAAACCATAAATTAAAAAAAACGTCTACGACAACAAGTAACATCCGAACTGTATCTTTTTTTATTACCTGAAATTTTGGATAAATAAGAGCCTAATACCATTAGAAAATAAAATTGCAGTATGGTAGATTTGCAAATTTTATATTTAAAAATTTAATATTGCAAGTTTGAAACAGTAACTTTTACATAGCTAGCGATTTTTAGCTTTTCGCGTTCCCTCCTCTAGGAAGATTGGTTTGCTTCTTTTTTGCGACCTCTTCCACTAGGCACCGAAACTACCACGTTTTCT